AATGTATATCTATATGCTACATCACCGACAACGTAATATCCAGGAGGGAGAAGAGCTAGAAGTTTCATAAATTTAGAATATTCCCATGCACGACTATCGTGCATTGAACCGTACGCCATGATGGAGAATGCAAAGAATTTGTAGTTTGAATCAAAAATCGCTTGTGCATTCAGGCCATACCCTGTCTTATGGCCTGAATACAAACGTCGTCTATAGGGACATTGTTTAAGTGTAGGAAACAGTACACGAACACCATCAGCGGCACCTACACAACGATTCATCACTCCATGTGTTGAATGGTCTTCAAATCCTTGAGATATTTGAACTATTTCTTCTTCAGATGAGGAAAATCGAAATTTCATCCAGTCAAGCCCATCAATTGCATCTAACACTCGCCAGAAAGACGCATAAACACTCGCACTTGATATACCAAATGCGATTTTTATGCCTTGATACCTTCCACCCGCTGCCATACGTAGAAATATGGCCAATTGTCATCTACATCTATTGCGCCTCCTCGTAACATTTATATTTTCTTATTACGTCTGCATGGTAAAATTATAAACTTTGAATAACTCATTCTAAATGTGTTCTCAAACGGGTTCTCTGCCATTAAAATACGACGTATGTTGTCCCAATTAGCGCGTACACGGCGTACTAGAGAGCCAAGACCGCAAACTAAACGTCGCCAAGGCACTTGTTTGGCGATGCCTGATTGTTGTTGCAACATCTGCCATAGTATATGAAGCCGAGCGCATTTAATTTGCGTGTCGACAGCATTCCGAAGACGAGATTGTGGTGTGATCATTGCTGTGATGAACAAAGGCTGGACGCCTACTCTATATAAAACATATAGCACATATACGAGTGTTGGGCATAATTTTTACTGTTATAAATACAAACTGAATGATTTATGTCAAGGAGAGCGCGCGCGATTCTGTACACCATATATGTAAATTTGAGAACTTACGCGGGTCTATTTGATTGGATTTGGGCAGCCAATCACAGTTCGATATCGATGAATTTTACGGATTGCAAAATCATGAAATGCTACAACGAAAAAACAACCTGTACCAAATCTCGGTACCAACATTTTAATTGAAATGGGTTCTTAAAATTTCACTCCACGTTAAGAACGACCCTAAGACTGCTTGAATCGTAGGCTTTTTTTAAACTAGGGCCGAGCCAAAAGTCAAAAAATGATACTGCTTGGAATCTTCGCCCGTCTTTTGGTAGGGGTTAGGGTTTCTAGTGTACCTTGTGAACCAGGATTTTTGGACTCAGGGCTTTTTGGCAATGGATTTGTGGCATCTTAGGATTGCCGGCCACGATCAAATTGGGATCAGGACAGGAAATTAGGGTCAGGGATCTTATATTATGTACAAAAGAAGTATTTAGTCATAAAGTCAGGTATGTACATCATCAATCCTATTAATACATAGGGGAGGGGGGGGTGGTATTTAAAAAAACAACAAAAACGAGGGGGTTTTGTTAAAAACAAAAACGAGTACCAAATTGTTAAAATAATAGCCTTTTAAATACGTATCATTGAGTGCACAGTGCAGACTGGCTGCGCAGTGTAGACTGTAGAGTGTAGCCGGCAGAGTGCAGAGTGCAGAGTGACTAGTAGTGGCTATAGACTCAAGAGTCAAGGGACTCGAGCCTGTACTCTGTAGTCTACTAGAGTAGAGAGAGTTACTCGGACCTCATTCAGTCATTCTGCGGCCTCACAGAAAGGCAGATCTCATCACACAATCACACAATACACACGACCTAGATAAGAGCCAATGATTGGCTTCAATTATTTTGCCTTATTGGCCCACTTATTCTTACTCTTAATATGTACTCGCTAGAGCTCTCTCTTTACAAAGAGTCTTGAGAGAGTAGACAGAGAGAGAGGTTCATTTTTGAAGTCTCAAACTCAAAAGTCTCGAACTCAAAGTGATGTGAAAGAGAGTCAATACAATATACATAAGCTGTTTACTATCAAGAGTAAGGGTTTTACTATATATATATTTTTTAAACGAATTTATAAAAAATATAATTATATTTTGGACAAATCATTTATCAAAAATTGAAAATATCTGCCCTATTGTTGACGAAATTAGGCCTTAGATTCAGCGATCGCCGAGGTAAAACTCACAGAAGGTGAACCGCTTTTAAAAAATGAAAGAACAAAAACAATTGTACACCCTTGACCTGTGAAAGGCACCTATCATGTAAAAAAGTACCTAGTAAAAGGTTAAAAAAAAGAACGTATTTAATATTGTTTAAAAAAAAAATAGTAGGTTTTGTTTGAAAAAAATTAGAGTGCATACATACATAGTCTTTTTGTTTTGTTTTGTTTAGAAAAAAGAACAAACTCAAGACATATTTAAAAAAATTATAATTAGAGAGAGCATTATTTATAAATAGGTAAATATTTATACATAGTATGTACACAAATATACAACAAACAAACCATTTTTTTTAAAAACAATTACAAAATATAGTATTTACTATGAAACTAAATCCATATTTAGTCAAACCAACTACTACACGGCTCTACTATTTCTTCGTAGGCGTACTTTTTCTCGAAATTCCTACCCCCCCCAATCTCGCACAGCCGCCCGCGGCCAGAGACTTCACAGTACACAATCGCCAATCGGACAAATACAATCCATCTCCCTTACTCGAAAGTTAAATAATTTTGTACCCCACCAGAGTGATAAAGAGTGAGATAAACCATATAAATATAATTATATAAAAGTATAAATGTATGATCAACTGATCATATATGAAAGTTTTACAATATGCAAAAAAAAGATAGTTATGTATCATAAAATAATATACGTTGCCAGGTAAAAATAGTTATTATCCGGTTATTACACAAGGATTTCCTGATTTTGGACGACTACTACTACTAGTAGCTTTGAGATATTGGATTTCTGGAGTTCTTCACTTTAGAGAGCACACTGTCTATGAGTTTTCTGCAGGGCTGGAGTCTGTGCGTTGTGCGCTCAAAATCGTACATCTTAAGCGGCTACCTTTAATGTCCAGTGTTTAGAATACCATGCGAATGCGACAAGTGAGCAACTAGGCGATATACATAGTATTAAGGGTGAGGTATCAAACACATCAAGAGGACTACTAAATCGCATCTATTTGTCGAGTGAACTGTCTCCACTGAGTGCTATTGAAGAAGTTTGCCTGATCAAAACTTCGGCTCGTTTGATGCGATTTCTCTCGCTCTCTAATATTTATACAATTAAGGTAGACCACACTCGTACATATCACACTTATACACGAACACCCGATGCGACTACAATCGACATCTACAATGCACTGCATGTTATGTAACACTTCGATTGAAAATTTCACAAATCTTTCGGCGAGACAAAGTATGAACGAACATGTGCGTAGCATGCACAGCTTTTCCGGGAGTACAGGTGAAGCAGATAATTATGGGGTTTCCAAAATGCGGGAGGCAAGCTGTGGGGTTTCCCAAGTCACTGTCGGCCTCGCGGGTGTGCACACTGTAAACGCACAGAAACTGTCCGCGATTGAGGTGACTGGCAGGTCTACGAAGAAAAATGGACGAGTAGAATCCGACATTTACTCTAAATCAAAGCCTTGCAAGACGGGTCAGCACAGTTTTACTGACTCAAATCGACTGATTAGTTCGCAACAACAGGGAACTGCTGTGACCTGGGTTTAACATGCGAGAATTAGCTCTATTTTTTTTCCAAAGTACAAATATCGTAGGAGTACACACCCTGCCTATTCTGCCAGTCACATCAACCGTGACCGAGAACAATCAGCGAGTCATCTACGAGTTGGGAGGCCCGTGATAATCATAAACCAAGCAAGGGTGTACTATCTTAGTGGCTGCACTGATGAATAGAATCCACAACCCGCGTGGAGCGTGCTTTTAGACGAAATGTAATTCACGGGTATTCGATATAGTTTCTACGCTTCCAAACTCGTCTCTATAACGAGAGAGGAAAGTATGAATATTGGCAACTTGCATGAGCGAAGCAAGCGTCAGTCGAACAAAAGGCAACTGGTTAACACCACTCTGAGCACACTCCGATGACGATGAACATCCTAGGCACAACGAATTGAAGGGTAAAACACATACTTGCAACATTAAGAGCGCTTTTACTGGCCGTATCCTGAAGAAAAAAACGTTATCCGAATACACACCCATTGTATTGTATATTAGGAAGGCAAATATTGAATAAAATAAGGCCTATATTGTATGTATATAATTTCGAGATAAAGAGTTACCCTAAAAAACTGCTTGTGTAACTTGCCTCTTATACCGTAAGATAAGGTGTAAATAGGCCCAGGCCGCTTGAATGAATTGCTACGAGGAATAGTACATTTAAATGCTTGTAGACTTTTAGCAGATCCATCCAAATAAATTCAGCGATGCATTTACTTTGGCACCATACTTTTTATGTATACAGATATATTTTGTTTACTTCAACGCGAGACTGCGAAACAAAAGATCTTTGAAATTTTTGTGCGAATCTGTCACAATGACCGGCTGTATGTATAAGACTGGTTTTTTAAATGGAAAAAACCTTCTCAGATCTAAAAACCACTGAAATCTACGTGTGAATAGGAAGCTTTTTTTAGCACATGTATTTTATCCAAGCTACCCAAATCTTTGTTGGTTCTACGATGATTTTACGACATATTTTGGTAAAACTATACACGACCCTCTAGCGAGAGAATAGAAATAAAATTGCCACTTCGGACGTATGTCCGAAGGAATATGTAGTATACTTTCAACTTTGTCTTAAATTGGTCGCCCGCCATAATAAACCAGAGACTCGAAAAATAAACCAAGGCATACCTACACATGGGCAGCGGTAGTACGGATTATTACATACACACTATAATTTGAAAACCAAGGTTTTTTTATATTCGTAGTGAATGCGAGGGTGCGCGTGGCCAGAAATGCATAGCTCAATAAGATTTGAAATTTGTCTGCATACAATTGTATATCAGGCACTTGAATCACTTTGCCCCAGCCCTTTTTCTGTAGAGAGCGTGGATAGCGAGTATGTTGTGTTAGGTCTACCATTTGCTATGAGAAGATGCTTAGTGTTTGTACGTGCACAAACCTCAATAGTGCATAGCTGACCGAAGATACAGCTTGACAGATAGTTTAGTAGAACGGACTAATAACGGCCTCCGATTTGCGTTGTGTGAAATCTCTGACACCCAATCCGGGTACAACCAACGCACAATTGAAGCACAAATAATACACAATCTAATGACAAACAATGCAAAAACGATGCACAGACGATATATATTCGGCAAAAAAGATTTTCATGTACATGCACATGTATATGAGATATATATGTACATATATACGTATATAAATAACAGACATACATACATACGTACATATACATTGACATATACATGATATATATATATATATATATAGTGCATGTATGTGTGCAAGTATGCAGGTATGTATGTATGCGTGCATGCAGGTATTAATATATTTGTGTATGCACCCATGTGTATATATTGTATAAACATGCATGCATTTGTATATGTATTTTTACATATATATGTATATTTATGCACATATATATAAATATATATACGTGTGTTTATGTGTCTGTATATGTTATGTTTTTGTGCATGCGTGTATATAATGTCTTTACATATATGTATGTATGTATGCATATATTGTATATATTTACACGTGTATATATATGTATCCTTTTCTGGGGTGGTAGGCTGCAATGATGATACCATAGTTCAACATATTCACTCTATGTAAGTGCTGTTGATATGCTATGCAATTCTTTCGCTCCTATCTGATCCATTCTACCACTCCATTCACGAAATCATGCATCACTTCTAATGTCTGCGAAAATTTCTGGTAGATTTCTTATTGCGAAAAATGTTCTTGTTGATTTACGCAGCCATGCAGATTTTCGTCAAGACCCTCACGGGTAAAACCATCACACTTGATGTGGAGTCTAGTGACACCATCGACAATGTCAAGGCCAAGATCCAGGACAAGGAAGGTAAGTAAAGTGTGTTCATGTCCCTACTAATATCCCAAACACGAATAACTAACCGCTCAAGCTGGAAGATGTTACACCTATTCATTGGGTTGTTTGTCTGGTTTGAGAAATTTACCATGTATATGATCCGTGGCACATATATTTCTTGTGCTGATTTGCATGCTTGTCCTGTATGTGTCTCCAGGAATTCCCCCTGATCAGCAGCGTCTGATCTTTGCCGGTAAGCAGTTGGAGGATGGCCGCACCCTAGCGGACTACAACATCCAGAAGGAATCCACCTTGCATCTGGTACTACGTCTACGCGGCGGAGGCAAGAAGCGTAAAAAGAAGGTGTACAACACGCCGAAGAAGATCAAGCACACAAAGAAGAAGGTGAAACTTGCTGTGCTTCGATACTACAAGGTAAGTGGGTCTTTTTTTCTTGCGAGCTAGAGTAGGTGCATGCAAGGGCGATTGATACAGATTAGAGGACAATGACGATAAACGTTTATCGCTTTCTGAACGCATTAAAACCATGTCGATACAAAAAACGTTCGGTTCAACTGAGTCCTACTAGTCTGTGTAGGTGTTTCTCACAAGGGTGTGTACTCTAGTATTTTACTTCTACTGACCATCTATTACTGTCTTCCCGTTACTTCGTATAGGTCGATAACAACGGTAAGATCTCTCGTCTGAGGCGTGAGTGTGACAACGCCGAGTGTGGTGCCGGTGTATTCATGGCCAAGCACTTTGACCGTCAGTACTGTGGCAAGTGTGGACTTACGTACGCTTTCAAGACCGAGGCTTAAGTTGGTATCTGTCTGCTAGTATTTTTAGTCGCCTTCGAAATGCGTGCACAGACTTGTTCACGCTGTCTGTGGGTGGTGTATACGCACTTGTACTGAACCACGAATGGTTTATCTCGATAAAGCATAGCCCATTCTCGGAATGCAAGCTCTCACACCAAAAGCCTTTCCATGTATTTGCCCTGACCCATGTTGATTGATTGTAGCTAAATATTTTGTGTGTATAGTATAGTACTGCGTAATTTTTGTTGTGGTTCATATTTGTACACGGTTGAGGACGGAATTCGTTTTCTCGAGATCTGTGCGAGTGTGTGCTCATAACACGCAGGCATTTGTGAGTTTAATTTCTAATCGAAGTGTTACACTGATGTTAGTTAGACTTCACTGGCACGTTTAGTGAATGGGGTCACACAATGCATGTCTGAGGACGAGTGAAGAGTTAAGTCAACAATGGTACTTGTGCAAACGACAAAGATGAGTACGGTAGGGGGTATTTGGTCGCTGGATGGAATATGGTGCGATTCGGGTGGGGGGTTTGTACTGCAGTTGGCGAGGTCTACTTGTTGAATTGGTGGGATAAAGTGCCGAACTTTATATATATATATAGAGGCTTTAGAGTGCACAGTATGAGGTGTGAAGACACTCGAGGTAGCTACCCGATACTTGCGGACGTTGATGTGGATGATGTCTACGTACTAGCGAGTCAAGTATTGTATGTTATGCGAGATAAGTAGCCAATCGTTCGTAGTTGAGCAGTGGGTGGACTTCGTTGACGGATATATAGGCAATCATCTGTAGTTCAGCAGTGGGTGGATGTGAATGCTGGGAGTAATGTATCGTTGGAAGATACATAGGCAATTATCTGTAGTTCAGCAGGGGTTGGATGTGAATGCTGGGAGTAATGTATCGTTGGAAGATACATAGGCAATTATCTGTAGTTCAGCAGGGGTTGGATGTGAATGCTGGGAGTAATGTATCGTTGAAAGATACATAGGCAATCATCTGTAGTTCAGCAATGGGTGGAGGAGAGTGTGGGTAGTAATATATCGTTGAGGGAGATATAGCCAATCATCTGTAGTTCAGCAGTGGGTGGATGGGAGTGTTGGTAGTAATGTATAGTTGATAAGAAATATAAGCAATCATCTGTAGTTCAGCAATGAGTGGATGAGAGTGTTAGTAGTAATGTATAGTTGATAAGAAATATAAGCAATCATCTGTAGTTCAGCAATGAGTGGATGAGAGTGTTGGTAGTAATATATCGTTGATATGAGATATAGGCAGTCATCTGTAGTTCAGCAATGGGTGAATGGGAGTGTTGGTAGTGATGTATCGTCTTAACAACAGCAGCAGCCGCTGAGTTTACAGCGCGCAATTGAACGCAAAAAGCAGGGTTTCACAACCCTAGGCTTCACTGTGATATACCACAGCCCAATCCAACTGAGTATATGAGCACTCGCTATAATGCTAAGCCAATGTATAGCGTAGGTACTGAGGCGGTAAAGCACACACGCTCCTCAGGCGTAGACCTACAAGACAACCTAACCTGTTCCATCTGCAGAGAAAGCTCGTCACAACTTGTACGAATGGTAAAACAGTGAACACACACGCCCCTCAGGCATAGACCTACAAGACAATCTGACCTGTTCTATATACAGAGAAAGCTCATCACAACTTGCACGAATGGTAGAACAGGGAACACACAGAGCTTCATGCGCAGCTGCCGGTGTTGTGGGTTGGAGAGACTTGCGTTTGATGGGGTGTATGCCGCGTGTTATGCCTCTTCGGCTCGTGACAGCAGGGTACACTTGTTTTAAGGTTTCCTTAACCCTACCTCTCTGGTAGGTAGTTCAAGGAATACAACCCAGCAGAACAAGCGCTTTTGAACCCAACTCCCGCGCATAAGCCACTCAGAGCGTGTGTAACACACCCACCCATTACCAACCACACCTTGTAGTACCGTATAGCGCTCAGTGATTACTAATATAGTAACGAACCAAAGACTGAGCGAGCCATAGACGGTGTACGGGTGGCCACCATAGCTGCTCACAGGAGTGTTGAGCTTATTGGGAATGAACTGATAACGGAGTGGGCCATAGACGGTTTATGGGTGGCCACCGTAGCTTCTCACAGGAGTGTTCAGCTTATTGGGAATGAACTGATGACGGAGTGGGCCATATACGGTGTATGGGTGGCCACCATAGCTTCTCACAGGAGTGTTGAGCTTATTGGGAATGAACTGATGACGGAGTGGGCCATATACGGTGTATGGATGGCCACCATAGCTTCTCACAGGAGTGTACAGCGCACACGCGTATCGATGGCGAGAAGTATGTAGTCGCATAGGTCAGCGTTAGTATCATGATTCACGATGACTCATTGCAGCAGCTCAGCGTTCTAGGGTTTGACGTACCGTGGCTGCTGGTTGACGTAGAAGTCATCTGGCGTGTGCTATGGGTGGTGTCTTTGTCTATTCGCTGTGCGTTGGAAAGCAGATGAAGTGGGTGGAGTTAAGGTACTTCAGAGCCGGTGGAATGGGGCTGCTTTGATTTGTCCGAAGGTATATTTATGAATACCTATTGTATAAGGCGTCGGGTGTGCACTCAATTGTTGTTGGTGAGGTTCTGAGGGGGGGTTTTTTTTGTTGATATTTATTGTGTCGGTCTTCATGAAATCCTGGGCCAGGGCACGCTCTGGGCTTTTGCTGAATTTGGGACTTTTTATTTTAATTGTTGTCAAACACAATGCCTCTTCGCAGAGCAGTTTGCACGTATTCATGTACTTTCAAGGACAATGACGATACACGTTTATCGCTTTCTGAACGCATTAAAATCCTGTTGATATAAAAACGTTCGGTTCAACTGAGTCTTTGTGATAGTGTGTACAAATGCGGCGTCTTCCAAACACTTACCTACATACAATCTGTTAACTGCATCCCGTTTTGACGTACCGCTTCTTCACTTATCCCAAACGTAACGTGTGCCATAGGTTGCGGTCGATGTGATGTCATCATCTCAGGCGCAGTTAGAAGTCCCTGCATACCGGAAGCCCAGGCTGCTCACCCTAAAGCCCTTATCGCATCGAGACGAAGCTCTGACTTGTTCTGTATGATAAGTAGGTAATGATAATACTCTTCCGATTGCCTTATATAGATAGTATGATACTATCCCCTATTGCTTATTATTGCTGGTCCTGGATTGGCGATCACACCTACATAGTCCCCTGCTGCATGCAGCCTGTGTCTCTTTAGTCGATACGCTGAACGGACGATTGGCGTTGTACACGGCGATCGAAATCATTAAATGAAAATATCACTAACATAGTGTGGGTAACTTTGGATAATCGCGCGTACTTGTTTGTTTTATGATATACATTGTGTAGAAACATTGTACATTCTCTCGTACTTGTTGTTTTATTATTTTAATATCGTCTATAAGCCGTTGGCAAAGGCCTTTATGAGTGTGGGGTTGCTGTATATGGCTATCAAGGTTGTCCCAAGAGTAGGACGATTTTGGGTCAACTGCTGCGATAAGAATCTTATCAAACGAATGGGCTTACCCTGTCTGATAGTTCAGCACCATATAATCCATATAGTTAGTATAAAGATCATCTTATCAATTGTATTTGGAGTTTCAATATATACACACAAAGGGTAATAACAGAAATATGATAGAATCATGTACATACATACATATTTATTTATATATATATATACATGTACATACATACATATTTATTTATATATACATATACATATATATATACGTATATATATTTATATATATATATATAGGCATAACGTACATACAATAAATACATACACACACATACACACACATATATATAT